ATGTCTAGAAGCATATTGTTAACTCTTCTAAGACCATTTGGACACCAGTTAACTAGTTACTTGATGAGTGTTTCCATGTCCTACCAATTCCCTGAAGGAATTGTCACCTCTCCAGAGGGCTCCCCCACCTCCCCCAGAATATAGATCATATGCTAGGAGAACATGGCTCAAAGAATATAATTTACCTTGGTCTTTCTTGGTATGTATGGACTTCACACCTCATGCTAAGGCTGAAGTAGATTTGCCAAGCAAAATGGAGGTAACCCACTACTTGGGCCTTTGTTGCCAAGACAGTCTCCTAAGGTATTTCATTTTGGGCTAAATAGGAATAATTTGAGAAGACTGGTCATTTCAGTCAGACAAGAAGCATTTATTAAGTTCCTACTATGATGCCAGACATTATGCTAAGGAATATAAAGAAAGGCAAAAGAGAGTCCTTGCCCCCAGGAGCTCACAGTCTAATGGAGGAGACAACATGCAAGCAACTATGAACAAATAAGATGTAGATAGATAGATAGATACATGCATAAATAGATTTGTCATATCGATATGTGACATAATGACATATTGACAAATTGAAGATTTATCAGAGGGAAGGTACTAGCATTAAGGTGAATCTAAATAGGCTTCTTGTAGATGGTGGGATTTTATCGGGGACTTGAAGCAAGCCAAAGAGGTCAGTAGATGGAAATGAGGAGGGAGAGAATTCCAGGCAAGGGGGACATCAAGTGAAAATGCCTAGAATTGGTTTATGGCATGTCTTTTGCAAAGAAAAGCAAGGAGGCTATTTCCTCTTTTCTTTTCTTGCTGCTGACATCATTGAATTAGAATTGTAGCTCTGAAAATTTTATTTCATGAGATTAAAGTGGGAGGAGGGGGCAGAATAAAGTCACATAACTCCAGAGCCTTTTGATTTTACTGAAGTCAGCACTCTCAAGAGATCAACTTTCCAGGCTGTCCAAAAGTATCTCCCCTAGTTAAATCATAACTGATGGTTGTTTTCTTGCACTGTAGCTAAGTATTTACCCCATACTAATCCTCCAAAAATCTTCTCAAAGTCCCAAGAGGCATTTTCTAAAGAGCTCCTCATCATGTTACAGGACACTTAGCTCCTCATCTCTGATTTCTGAGTTGAATTTCCTGCCATATTCTAGCAACTAAAGGGAAAGGAACCTAACCAAAGAGCTTGATGTTGCATATGCATGGTGAAGGTTTGTGAGTAACTCAGGTGTTTAGGTTTGCAGTGAACTTTTTTCTACTAACAGCCTAATTCACTCATTTCTTTATTTGGCATTTTGGCTTCCAAAGCACATCCATGCATATCATCTAATTTGTTGTCCTCACTACATTATTGTAGCATGAGATGGAGCAGGCTTTTTTTGTCTATCATATACAATCAACCAATCAACAAGTGTCTATTAAGCACCTTCCATGTGCCAGGGACTGTGCTATGCACTGGAGATAATAAGGCAAAAGTGAACCAGTCCCTGCTCTCAGGAAAATTACATTATAATTGGGGAAACAATGTGTGCTTATATAAATATATACAGAATCTGTACAAAAAGAGTGTAAGGAAGTTTGGACAGGGAGAGCACTGGCAGTTGAGGTGATCAGGAAGGACCTCCAGCATAAGGTGAATATTACAGATGGCAAAACTATTGATTAAACATATTAAATGATACAGATGTACTGGTATGGGAGTCCATACAGAAATATTCATCACCACAACTGTCTCCTAAGACATTTGCTTCTCAGCCAAATAGACATAATTAAGGATGATTTGCAGCCCATTTCTCAGCAAATCAGTAGATACCTAGGACAAGATTATGAGTTGTTTGAATCCCCAGGTCTTGGCGTCTTGGACTCTGTTTTGGAGTCTTCATAGACATGACTAACTGTTCCTTGCCATCATTATTTGTGCAATGGTAATCTCCAGTTTGCCTTGCTCCAGCATTGTTGAAGTAGTAGCAACCAAAACAGTAGCATCAACTGATGCCTGTTCAGTACCAGATTACAGTAGTGGTACAGGCTTCTTCCCATTATTGCTGCTGCTAACTCATTAAGTTAGATTTATGAATTAATTAGGAGAAAGGAGAATGAGAGGAAGGCTTTGGAGTTCATGGTGCTACAGGTTGTGTTTCATTTGTCTTTATTCTCCTTTGCTCATTACCTGTTTAATGTTTTTCCATGTGCTCAGTTTTCCCAAACTGACTCCTCTGTTCTGTTTTAGAGGGGCATTTTTGGTGGCATGTTTTTTTTTTCTTGTGACAAAAAGACAAAGTATAAGCTTTTAATGTGTTCACCAGGTGAAACCTTAGGTGTCACCTGTACTTTGCTTGAGTATCTAGCAGCATGGAAATCATGTGTGTGTGTGTGTGTGTGTGTGTGTGTGTGTGTGTGTGTGTGTGT